CAAATGTCACCAGCTTGCTGAAATCTGGAACCAATGCTGCAAATTCCGAGCCAGAGGATTCAAATTCCAGGCCCATATTTAAAAAAAAATTGAATAAAAAAAATCAGAACTGTTTGCCCACTTGCAGCCATTGGGTAAATAGTTAAAAATCCTAGACATCACAAGGGATAAATATGTGGCAGCTAGCCAGCGCTTGCCAACTGCCATATTAAAAATAATAAATAGAAATCTTATTGGGGTCAATAAGACCCTCATATTAATGTAATGGAGGTATTTTACCTCTCTATGCTCCCACTTGCCGCATATTTACTGACATGTTAAACTAGTAACTGGGCAGTCATTGCTGGCCAGCCGCTATAAAAGGCCCTATCCCATAGGTAGGGAGCATGCAAAATATTATTAGTATGGCCCCCACCTGCCTGCAATGTGTGGGTGCTGAGGTGGAACCCTAGTTTCTCCCACACAAATATTTTAATAACCCCCTATCTGCTGACCATGCGTGGCGGTGTGGGAACATAAGTATGTCTCCTTTTTTTATTTTATTACAAGTGCCTATCCACTGGCCATGGGTGGAGACAGGGGGTTGACAGTGATTTGTCAATCCTCCATTATTTATTTAAAGCTCCCCCGTTCAATGCCAATGGTGAGGGCACAAGTGGGGGGACAATGTCCTTCAACGTTATTTCCCAGGTCCCATCCCCATGCACTGTGGCCTTTCTACTGACTGGGCAGCATTGGCTTCCAAGTCGCTAAGTTTAAAAGTTTAGTAAACATGTCCCCACCTGACTCTTATAGACTTATTTATTACTTTTTTTTTTATTTTTAGGTGGGTGCCGCCATATGTTTAACCCTCACACTGCTTAGGTTTTTTAACTATTTGCCTGCTGGCTAGCTCTGTCAGCAGGCAAATAGTAATTCAAATTATAATTTATGTACATAAACACAAGTGAAAGATAATTTGCGAATGTGCAACCTGTCCGATGCATTTGAGCCCAAATTTTATTAATATGAGTTCTTTGTGAATCTTCTGAATCCTACAGTTTGTATAAGATTTGAAGCCGAATGCATCGAGGCAATTGCATCAGATTTGCTCGGGCCAACTGAATTCCAACCACATTTTGCTTTAGTTAGTATGAGAATTGCCAGTATGGTCAGAATTTGGTAATTTTCACCAGATTTTGTCCATCCAGACAAGTTCGGTGTTTAGTGACTAACCCCATGAGTCTTTCAGTGCTGTGCAATGCACCTGCAACATAACAAGTCATAGGTTTGGCACTTTTTGGAACAATTTCCAGTAAAGAAATATGTGAGATGTTGCATGTGCTATTACATATCTACATTTATGGCAATATATCTCTTTTTATGTAAATAACATTGTTTAGAAATGTATATGGATAATTTCCTGTCAATGCTATTGTTTCTTACGGGATTATTTACTAAAGTGAGAATTGTGGGGAATTTAAAGTAAATGCTAAGTGCATTTCAAATGCAAGGCCAAAGTAGACAAATTAGCATCACAGCTGAATTGGAGAACATGAAAGTTTTGCTACTTTAGCCTTAAATTTTGAAATTGAAGAGAAAGCTATTTTAAATCATATCCCAATAATGAACATACAAATGTAAACACTCATAATTCAAAAAAGAACATTCACAGCCTCAACTAAAACAAAGTCATAGGTGTTAAAGCAGGACTGTCCAACCTGCACCCTCCCAGATGTTGCTGAACTACAACTCCCATGATTCCCTGGCTATCTGTTTCATTGAAAGAAACATGGGAGTTGTAGTTCAGCAACATCTGGGGGGGCTGAAGCTTGGACAGGCCTGTATTAAAGGGTGTTTTTCATGTCAAGTGCAAAGGATTTGAATCAAAAAAGGTTTGCCTTGGAATATCCAACAGTATGGCCTTGGGGAAGTAATCAACATGGCCCAGGGATTGCTGACAACTTGATCCATGGAAGCTGAACACCTTCTGATAAGTTAAGCATGGGTTAGCTCTGTTCCAGGGCATGCAATAACAGCACATTTTGCATTGATTTAATAATACTCTATCTATAATTTGTGTCAAATGTCATAAAAAACTTATAAGCATTGTTTTAGAAAATCTATATGGGTTTACTGTGTTTTAAGTATGTTGCATTAGGTTTTTACAATATCTCATATCTACCTCCAGATACATCCCGTGTATTGTGTAGTATGACTTTTCTCGCATCACTTATATTGCCAGCAAATAAGGCATAACGTAATACCAACCATTAATATATCTCCATAGCAATCCAGCCCGTCTCCTTCGAAACCTTCAGGGCACTTACAAGTATTACCTCCTGTTGTGAGTGGTGTGCATTTAGCCTAAGGGAAATGAAGAACAAAATTATATTAATTGAAGATGCCTTGTATTAATAAAAAGAAAGATGTATATAATCTAAGGTATTAAATGAACACTCCCAGCACCAAAGACACTATAGCATGCTAGCACAGACAGAGAGTAGGGCTTAGCTCATTGGTTGAGAGTGATTAGCTGATCCCAGGTAATGAGCTAGTCATGCACTGTAGAATGAAGATACACATTATATATATATATATATATATATATATATATATATATATATATATATATATATATATATATATGCACATATATACACACACACACACACACACATGATATGTATTAAGGCTTTTACCTGTAATTGTGGGAAGGGCATGATTTCCCTACTTAAAAGGGACTTCTTACCTTGCTCTACACCGTTCTTGGTCTAGCGATTTGCATGTGACTACTTCCTGGTCACATGCAGGTAACCATCTTGCAAACTTACCGGTTTCTCGACATGGGTACCTGTACCTGCTGTTTTCCCCTGGTCGTGGCACTCTGCTTAAAAAATCATCCACTCTCGGCCCTCCAGGTTGCAGCTCCGAGGACGGAACCGGAAACACCCTCAAAAAAGTAAGATAATGACCTAACTGTCACGCCACTCACAGTCCCACGGCGTCATTACGGTTTAGATCTGTCAGGATTACTAGTTGATCCAGCACTCAATACAGTGTCACACCTAGGACTAAGGATAATGTATAACCGGACCTTAGAATGGCCGGACTTAATGTCTCCAAGAATAGTCAAAATACTTGCCGAGGTCAGAATCAGACAACGATGAGGGAAAGCCAAAAGTCAAGGATACCAGATATCAGGGAAGTCAAAACAAAGCCAAAGACCAGAAAATCAAGATCAGGAACACACTCTTGTATAACCATAGGCATAAAACCACGACAGGGCAATGACCAAGAGAAGAGTTGGGTTTAAATACCCCTCCTGTGGATCCGATTGGCAATTTCCAGGTTTCCATGTGCATGATTGCTGCTCTGCACAACTTTTCCTGTCAGGACAGTAAATGCCATTAACCACATTTTTATGTGCGGATGAATACGTGACAAGCTCTATCTCATTGCTTGTTCAGTTTCACATACTTCCTTTTCGTATACTGTTTTATGTCAAACTCCCGAATGATTTTGTGGAGCTAGATTAGTTCAGTCGACCAGGTATCAACCGGCATTATCACTCCTATCAGGGCATGCACTTTAACCTACGTGTTTTCCTCACTTATGCAACGATATGCATGGGCCAACAAGAGGCTTGACTCTTTGTTTGACCCATGTATGGTCCACCCTCCGTATACTTTCAACCGGTTTCCTTCAATTACGATACATGCTCATTTACGGCCTTCCTGTTTACATATTCTCTGGCCTAGTATTAGTACAGTATATTAACAACACATTTGCCATGTTTTTTTTTTTTTATTAAGGTTTGCTTTTTGCCACCTTAAACATAATTATCACACAAACCATCAAATATATCTCATTCATGAGTTATGTCAGAACATTAATCCAGAAGACCAGGCCTTAACCCTTCCATTATTCTGGTCACTCTTTAGGGGCAGCATCCATGGCTTCAAACAGGTTTATACCAGTACACATAATTAAACATTATGTACAGATAGTTTCATTAGGTCACTGTAAGTCCTCAGCCTATTCATGGTACATTCCACAAGTATAGAAACTTTGTCAAGCATTGTCATATAACCTTGTGTATAAGCAGGGCCGGCGCTACCTGTTAGGCGGACTAGGCAGCCGCCTAGGGCGCCCCTTGTGAAGGGGCGCTACCAGGAGCGCCGGCCCCCCTCCTGCTGCAGCACTCTGCAGAGAGCCTCAGGCGGCTGCAGCTTTGCCCGGGCTGGTGCGTCCATGAGGGCGGACCGCACCACCCGGGCGCAGCATGAGGAGAGGGGCTGACAGGAGGGAAGCGCTCAGCACTCCTTCCTGTCACTCCCTCACTGTAGCGTGGCCGAGCTCTGTATGGTCCGCGGGTACAGGGAGCATCTGTCACCTGTACGCGGCCAGACTAACAGGAAGTACACACTGAGTGTGCACTTCCTTTTAGTCCGGCCGGGTACAGGAAACAAAAGCTCCCTGTACCCGCGGACCATACAGAGCTCGGCCGCGCTACAACAGAGGTGGGGGGGGAGGGAATACATTGAAGGGTGGAGAATAAATTGAAATGGAGGTAGGGAATAAATTTAAAGGGGGAATAAAGTGACAGGAGGGGAATACATTGAAAGGGAGGGGAATAAATTGGGGAATAAATTGAAAGGGAGGGTGGGGGGGAATAAATTGAAGGGAGGGGGGAATAAATTGAAAGGAGGGAATAAATTGAAAGGGAGGGGGAAGAAATTGACAGGGTGGGGGGAGAAATTGACAGGGAGGGAATTGACGGGGAGGGAGGGGGAATGAGAGTGGGGAGGGGTGAAGAGAGTGAAAACGGGGGAGAAGAGAGTGACAAGGGAGGGGGGAGAGATTGACATCCATCACACACACAGAACTCACCCCTTACACACAAAGACAATGCACCCCTTGCACACAGAAAAACACACAATACATTACACACACACAAGCAATGCAACCCTTACACACAATGCATTCCTTACACACACACAGAAACACACAATGCATTCCTTACACACACTCAATGCACCCCCTTACAGACGCACACACTGCATCCTGTACATACACAGAAAAACACCTTGCAGCCCTTACACATACAAACACAGATTCACACAATGCATTCCTTACACACATATCAGGACATCCCCCTACTCCACCCCCTGTGAACAAACTCATTGGTGGAACATGAAGGTGGACCCTGGGACCCAGACCTTGAGCTGTGTAAAGGGCCTTAAAAAAAATGGAGCTGCTTCCCGTTCTCCCAGAACATTGATTTTTGTGACCACAGTTACAAACAGCCTCCAGAGAGCCTGTTCTACACCAGACCAGTGGAGCCAGACTGCAGCTAGAGCCCATCATCATCCTCATCTGGTTGTAAGTAGGCAATCTAGTATATTATTCGTGGCACTAATCTCTAATTTACCTCACATTAAAAACACTATAGTCCCCAGAACCACTGCAGCTTAATGTTCTGGTGTCTATAGCCTGTCCCTGCAGGCCTTTTAATGTAAACACGGTGGCACTGCAGCACTGGCGTTAGTTAACATGGCAGATCATGTGGGTAGGGCATTGTGATGTCACATGGGGGAGGGGGGCGGCAACCTTTACTTTTGCCTAGGGCGGCAAAAATCCTTGCACCGGCCCTGTGTATAAGCATTCATGTTGATTGTTGACTGTATTAACAATTTTACCGTATTTCTCCTTTTTGCCCTCTTTATTTTACAGGCCTACCAGCATTGTCGATTCCGGCACACCTCAACTGACTTTTCATTCTGTATTATGCTATTCCTATATTTCTCTCTATCACTCTATATGTTTTTTTTGCCCCAAACACACACATATATATATATATATATATATATATATATATATATATATATATATATATATACACATACACACACACACACACACACACACACACACACACACACACACGTTTTACTCTTTATTAATTTCTATGGTTTCCTGGAATTTAATTTAATGACCATTCCTACTGTGATCCTTGTTTGCAGATAGCACGGTCCTCTAGGGTAAACAACAGGCACAGTCCTTTGGTTTTCATATAATCCAGGCAATTGTATTGGCAAGTTCACACAGCAACACAACTAAAACATAAATATAACAGATTTCCCCTTTAAAAAAAAAAACCTAGCTCGTCTGAGCACTGACTGACTTTTAATATCCCTCTCTATCAGGGTTAAACTAACAAAAATGTATCATTGGGTTGCACCAACCTTATTAGATAACACCCTGCACTCCAACACTCAGTCACCTTGACTGCTTTCCTTTCTGCACTCCCAGTGCTCCAAGCCAGCCTTAACTGCTTTGCTTTCTGCACTCCCAGTGCTACAAGCCAACCTTAACTGCTTTGCTTTCTGCACTGCCAGTTCTCCAAGCCAATCTTAACTGCTTTGCTTTCTGCACTCCCAGTGCTCCAAGCCAACCTTAACTGCTTTCCTTCCTGCACTCCCAGTGCTCAAAGCCAGCCTTGACTGCTTTCCTTTCTGCACTCCCAGTGCTCCAAGCCAACCTTAACTGCTGTGCTTTCTGCACTCCCAGTGCTCCAAGCCAACCTTAACTGCTTTCCTTTCTACACTCCCAGTGCTCCAAGCCAGCCTTAACTGCTTTCCTTTCTGCACTCCCAGTGCTCCGTCTCCTTGACTCTCTCACAGGAATGAACAGCATCTTTCCTTCCTACTTCCAGGGAGGAAGCCAGCAATCCCCCTTTACCTGCCAAGCAGGGAGGGGTTTATTAGCACTGCTGCAGCTGATTATCTGCAGCTGAGCAGTGGGTTGGAGACAGATCAGAACTATGGCCTGGACCTTATTTCTCCCA